TATTACTACTCACAAAAACTAATACGTAAAAAATAAAAATACCTGCTGGTAAATCGGGAAATAATCTTGAATTTGCAGTGATCATTGGAAGAGAAACGGTTATAGCAAGTGTGGTAAGTATTGCTTGAGGTTTTCTTAGCAAAGACCTTGCGTACTCATAGATCACAAAACAGATAAGTCCTGTCAAAAGAAGTAAGAAAAGCCTAGAACCAAATTCTTTTCCTACCCAGAAGAAAGGTGACATTAATAAAGGTAATCCAGGACTATGTATGCTAAACCAACGGCCGTCAACTCTATGTGAATGACTATCATGAAGAAGACTGTGCCGAAATATTTTATTAGTTTTTGCATCTTGTTCATAGTTGTTTCTAACATCTAAATCAAAATCGTGAACAAGACTATCCGTAATCATCAGATAGTGAGGTTCATCACCCTCAGTGGGATAACGACCCTTTTTTTCCCAGACTAATATCGTGGCTAAATAAATAAATAAAGGGATAAAGAGTAAATATAGCTTGAAATACTTCATCGATCGTTGAATAACTATTTTTTACAGAAAAAAGGCCCGACAGAGACATCTTTAATTTTTAATGCTGCTTTCCCCGCTACATGGACTCTAGTTTCAATTTTATAATGGCCCTTTTCTAAATCATCAGGCACTTTAAATCTAACTGTTATCGGTATTGTGTCTGCGTTTATAACTTTGTGAGATACTTGCTTACTTGAACCATTTGGATGATGCAGTAGCACATCTACAGAGCCAATATCTTGGGTCACACGCTTAGGAAATTGCAGATTAAAAGAGGCTTGAAGCAACCCCGGAATAACCTTTTGATAAGGTCCAAATAAAGCATGACCAATACCGTCGCTAATGTTGACATGTCTTTCGGTACCAACAACTTTACCGACATTAGCAAATAAATCTCCTGCCTTATACTGTCGAAATTGCTGTAAACAAATAGCATAGTTTTTGAAATTCTTTGTGTAAAACCCTATATTAAATTTTACAATTTCTTTTAATCTATTAAAATTCCATAAACTGCCTCTTGTCGTTAATTTTAGCGCCTGATAGGCAATATTTAAATCTCTGTTATCCAGTTCTCCATAACCTGTTACAGCAGCTAAATAACCTTTAGGTATTTTTCTAGAAAAATGGCCGATTCTCCAAGAGTCTATATGTGTTGGTAACCGTGCTAACAAAGGATCTGACAATGCTGAATAATCAACAAGATGAGGCTTTGGACCGGCAGCGTAGCCATAGTAACCAATATTACCTATTGCTATAACTTTACTATTATTTTGTTGGCGTTTTCCATCATAAAACCAACCGTGGTGGACTATATCAGTCTTTCTGGAAAAATAGGCTAACCCTGAATGCCTATAATAAAAACTTCTTTCGTCGGCAATTCCTGACCGTGTAGAGCTATCTAATTCTTTATCAGTAAAATCAACATCAAAAGCTTGAAAACCATTTCCTAAAAAGCCAACGCCTGCTATGGCAAATATCAGTAATTTTTGTTCAGATAATAATACTCCTAAACATAATGTTGCGAACAGAAAAGGTACGGTCAAAAACCGACCGCTCATAAAATCTCCGCCAACATTAATAACATACAAAAAATAACAGCATATTCCTAAAGTAAGTATTCTTAATCGGCGAGATTTAAATCCTACACAAATAGCTAACACCGGAACAAATATTAGTATCGGATCTCTCTGTAAAGCATCCACAATATAGTAGATACCTTGCTCAATAAGGTCAGGTTTAGGTATACCGGTATTTAATTTTGCATAGGCCGTATTTGGAAATGGAAATCCATAATAAAATAGTGAAAATAGCGTCCATAATATCATGGGTGTACAAGCTATCAACAGATTTATTAGTTTCCCTTCATATCTAAAATAATATGGTAGCTGTACAAGGAGAGCAGGTATCAATAATAAACCATGATCTAATCTGTTGAACATAACTAAATTCGTCAGAAATAAAAAAATAATGTATTTTTTGGGAACAAACTCTACTGTGTTTATTAAAGATTGGTATTGAACAAATGTTAAAGTAATTAAAAGATATGCTAATGGGTTTTCTAATCCAGAACTACAATAATCTAGAAATAAAAACGAAGATATTAGGGTTAGAATAACCCCTGCTCCTACCCAGACATCATATGTACACCTAATTATTTTTAATAAAATTAAATAACATAGGATACAGGCAAAAAATACGGATATATAAATATGCCCAATGACAAATTGAAATGCAGAAATCACGAACATCCAAAATGGATGTGTATATGCTTGTACCCTTTCAGCAATGTTCCATCTTAAGCCGTAGCCAGAAAGAAAATTATCAACTACACGAAATGTAATAAAGGCATCCTCTGCAATCCAAAACCGTTGAATTGCAAGTAATACAAACAATAACGATACCGATAAAAACAGGTAAGTTCCTGTCGACTGTTTTTGCTTATCAATACCACTAATTTGGTTGATTTTGTTCCTGTTTATTTCTGACATCTAGGATACCAATGATTTATCCGCTAATATTACAATTTATCAGGACCATATTTCATAAAATAAGATCGAAATCTTAACATTTATGTTTCCATATTGCTATAGGTATATGGGGTCAATACCATAGCTCGACCCATAAGAACAAAAAATAAGATTGCAACTTCCCCATCATATAAATTTAGCTCTGTTAAGCCTGAAACAGTAAATGTGGTCAGTAAGGCAAAGCCTGCTGCATTCCTACGGATACCAGATGTTATGAGCACCCAAGCAAAACTACCATATAAGGCTAAATACCCGATAAGCCCTAAAAAACCGCCTTCCGCAAATAAATGTAATGGTACATTGTGGGCATGTGCTCGGGTTTCTCGCTGGTAGGGTATATGGTTTTCAATGGCTTGTGAAAATCGTCCTGGGCCTGCTCCCCAAAAACGTTCTTTGCCAAGTGCAACAGACCCTTTCCATAACAAGATGCGGTGGGTTACTGTTGACTGTGGTTCTTCTAGTTGACGTTTAATTAATTCAATACGGTGTTGCACATACCCTGAAGATTGATAAACAACAAAGCCTGTCAGGATAATAAATAACCAGTAACGTAAACGCAATGGTTTAAGTAAAGCATAGATAACAAACCCAACGGCAGTAGCTAACCAAGCTCCTCGCGTTCCACTTAAAATAAGCATCAGACCAGCACTTAGCCAAATTATCCCTTTTTGCCAGACCGAGGTACGAAATAACATCGGCAAAAATAAAGCTAGACTCATTACACCACCTTCGGTCAGTGCTAACCCTAAAAAGGATCCTGTGCGTTCACCGGCGCGATATAAAGCGGGCTGTTTTTTTAAAAAGCTTAACTGTTCAATACCTGTAAAATCAATGACACCGTAAATCATATTCGCAACGATGGCGAGGATTGGAACCCACATGAGTTTTTTTGGTAAAAGCAACGGACAACTTATGGCAAAAAAGAATCCAACTAATCGCCAATCTTTGACAAAATGCCGTAAACTAATCAGTGGTTCTGGAGAAAAAAGTGTCGCTCCCAAACGTGTCAATAAATAGATACCAACACCAGCAAAAATAACTTTAGCAATCTGAATCTGTTCTTCTGATTGGCGATGAAGAAAGAATACCAAAACAGCTGCAATTGCTAAGCATATATTAGCTGGCGCAATACCTAAAAAACAAGCAGAACACAGGAGCATCAAAACATAAATAGCGACTACTTTTGTATCTAACTGCTTTAGGTATTTTTTTCCCAAAATTGACATCGGAAGCTATATGTTTATTTTTAAAGCAGTCGACATACTGGAAGTTGGTATTTTACTTTTATTGTTGTCTTTTTAAAACACAAACTATTTGGTGTGATAAAGCACACAAAAGCCCTAAAGCTCCACCTATAAGGATCCCGACGATAAACAATAATTCTACCTTGGGCCATGATGGATTTTCTGGAATATTGGCGGTGCGAATAATAGCTGTCGCGTTTTCTTGGAGTTCTGCTATTTTGCGTTCTTGATTCGCAATTTTTGTGGCAAGGTTATTAATCTCTAATTCGACGTCGCTCTGTTGTTCTAGTAGTACAGAGACTAAAAATGGATCACGTAATGTATTTGTTTGCGTTTGTTTTTCTAACGCAGCTCTTTTTTGTATTAGTCGCTTACGTCCGGTAACGAGATAGCCCAAATGTGCCTGGTCTATAGCTAATAACGTTGTCGTTCTCTCATTAAGACGTTTAAAAATATAATGGGTATATTCGTTAGCTTTGTCTGTAACTTCTTGTGGTTTTGTACCAACAATTTTTAACGCCAGTAATTTTTTTGTCTTTCTTGGCTCTAGGGCCTCAATTGAAATAGAGGTTTGATCTTTTATTTTTTGTCCATTATTGAGACGTTTTTTTTCTTCAAGAGATAGAACCTCTTCTAACAAAATGGTGGCATATTCTGAAGAAGATTCAATATTTTTATCTTGGTCTCGCCAACCTAGTTTTATGAGTGTTGTTGCAGTATATTTTTTTGTAATGAGTTGTGTTGCAATCAAACTTATTGCAATACTTAGCATCATCACAACTACAAAAAGATACCGATACCGATATAAAAATCCAAAAATATCCAAAATTGTCAGTTCATCATTAGGCTGATTTTTTTGCTTTTGTTGTTCATTATTCATCGTTATCTGACAACCTCTTTTGTCTTATTTAAGTAGGGCTTAGACAAAATTTTGACCAGGCCTCTTCAATATAATGTTTAATTTCTTGTTGAAAACGTTGACGTGAAAACTTCTGGGCATGAGCAGATATAGCTTTTGAATCCCATGATGATGTTCCTTGCGCCTCAAAGTCATTAATTGCTGCTACGAGGCTTTTAACTGTTTGTTCTTTAAAAAATAAACCTGTTTTTCCTGCGATGACTGTTTCACAACACCCACCACGCTCAAAGGCTATTACAGGTGCTCCCGCAGCCTGTGCTTCGACGGGTGTAATCCCAAAATCTTCATCGGCGGCAAACACAAACGCACGGCAACGCTCAAGATATGATTTTGCAACATCATTAGGTAAATAGCCAAGTAGCTCAACATTTGGACCTGCTAACCGGCGAATTTTTTCTACATCAGGACCTGTACCAATAACTTTTAATGGCTTATTTAAGTTTGTAAAGGCCTCGACAATCAAATCGATCCGTTTATACGGTACAAACCTAGACATTGTTACATAGAAATCCTCACGAGGCTCTGCCGCTGAAAATAATTCGACATCAACTGGTGGGTAGATAACCGTTGCTGGCCGACGATAAATTTTTTGGATACGACGAGCAACATAATTTGAATTGGCAATAAGATAATCTACTCGCTGTGCTGCTTGAAAGTCCCAAAGTCGCAGATAGTGCAAAATGCATTTGGCGAAAAAACCACGTATCCCCTTAGTTAATTTAGATTCCTGTAAATAAGGATGGTATAAATCCCAGGCATAACGAATAGGGGTATGAATATAGCTAATATGTAGTTGGTCTGCACGCGTCAAAATACCTTTAGCGGCTGCATGACAAGAAGAGAAAACAATATCATAATTACCAACATCAAACTGTTCCCAAAGAAAAGGCATGATAGGTAGCAGTGTACGATGTCGTTTACGCAAAAAATGGAAGCGATCTAGAGATGATGTTTTGACAGGGCGCTGTGCAAGAAAAGTATTTTTGAGTACTTCTGGTTCATAAAAAAGTGTATATAAGGGTGCCTCTGGGTATAACTGAGTAACAGCATCAACAACTTTTTCAGAACCAGCATAGGTAACAGCCCAATCATGGGCAAAAGCAATCTTAGTATCCATTTTTTTATGAAACCTTTAATCCAAAATGCTCTTGTACAGCATGGGATATTCGACTTGTAACATTATCCCAGTCAAATTTTGCTGCCTGTACCGTTGCTTTTGTTGTGAGCACTTCTCTTAACTTCGAATCATCTATTATTCTATCCATAATAACAGCTAAATTAGTGGCTTCTTTTGGCTCGAAATAGAGCCCAGCCTCACCTACAACCTCTGTTAAAGATGTTGTCTGTGCAGCTAAGACTGGCGTTCCACAGGCTAAAGACTCAAGGGCTGGCAATCCAAAACCTTCATACAGAGACGGCATTAATGTTGCTATAGCACCACGATACCAACCAGCCAAACTTGACTCTGCAATAAAACCTGCAAATTTAATCCTGGAGGTAATCTGTAATGTTTGCAAATGACTCCTAATATCAGGAGTGGCTACACCTGATAAGACAAGGTATGTATTTTGTGAAGCCTTAGATGAAGCAAATGCTTTGAGCATCAGTTCAACATTTTTATGTGGTTTACGATTACCAATATATAAAAAATAGGGCTCATCTAGAGTAACCTTATCACCTTCTGATTCAAACGATGAGTCTACTCCATTGCCTACAACAATAATACGTTCTAACGGTATATCTGCCCAATTAGCAATCTCTTGCTGCGAAAATTGTGAAACAGTAAACGTAATGTTTGCTTTCCGAATAGCTGGCCGTAGCACGTAGCGATAGTATTGCTGTTTAGCAAAGCTTGATTCTGCTGGGACTTTTAAATGAATCAAATCATGAACCGTCATTATAACAGGACAATTTGACCATAGTGGTGGATTAAACCCAGGGCTAAAGTACAATTTTGGTTGAGTTTTATAAAGTTGCCATGATAACCATAGTGGATCTATCGCCTGTAGTGGTTTTGGACCTTCTTCAAGAACCATTATGTTAGAAAGGCGTTTAAGAACCTCTCGCGCGAATCGTCCAATACCATCTTGATGTTTAGCCCAACGGGCATCTGCAAGAATCATCTGTTTAGTGCTTTCTTAGATGTTTTTTTTTGCTACTGTTTTATCATAAGCATTTGCAAAAAATGCCGCGCTTAAAATAGACCAAAATAACATATTTATTGGAAAGACTTGAAAATAGGGTATCCCTAAAGATGCAACACAAAACGAGATACCCCAAGCCCCTAAACGCCATGATAAAACCTGCTGGCTTTTAAGCAGTTGCCATAGTAATGGTGTTACTAATAAACAGAGCAACAAAATCCCTAAAACACCTGCAATCTCGAGTAGATAAAGATAATATACTTCAGAAAACCCCGGAAATTCACCGAAAAGCAACCCCATGATATCTCGATCCATAATATTCTTAACAGATAATATAAGATCTTCTTGATGCGATTTTAGACTAGGATATTTACTAATTGACCAACGATACAATGTATGAGAAACATCTATTTTTGAAGCTAAATAAAAACATCCTATGGATATGATTAAAATGGTAGTAGCTCCTACTAGAATAGATATTTTTTTTAGGCGTCCCCCCTGAATGAACCACTTAGCCGTCCATAAACCACTATAAGTTAATAAGGCGATTAACCCACTAATGCTTTTTGTACAAAGAATCATCACCACACACATAGACACTATTAGGGTCTTAAATCGGATTTGTGTTGTTGACAAAACGGCTATTAAGAATAACATCAAGATACTGTAACCATTGGGATCATCTAGAATGCTACCAAAACGAGCATACCCTGGATACGATAAAGCGGGGATACGGCCAATGGTAAAATAGAGTATTACTTGTACCAACCAGAACCCAAAACAAACCCAAAACGTAGTAATTGCAAAGCGTTGTAACTGCTGTTCCCACTGATTTGGTCTAATTAAAAAAGGTATCAGCAGCATAATGCTTGTATAAAGCCACGGGTAACGATATCCATATAAAACAAGGTCAAATAGTGAATTATCGTAAAAAACCGCAATAGCTAAGTTAAGACCAATGACCAGTTGGCAAAGCAGAACCAAAAACCAGTAACTACGAAAACTGCCATGCAACTCAAAACGCTGTTTAACTAAAAACTTCCACAAGCAATAGATGATTAATAGAGCATATAGGCCGTCTTTGATTATTTTAAAGGCAAAGGGTGTATCAGCATAGTGGTAACTTGTTCTCGTATCACCAAATTGGAAAATATAGCGACAACAAAAATATGCATAGGCTACATGTAAATAAATAAAAAATGGCCAAGCTCGTTTGCTAACTTGTATAAACATAAAACTATTTGTTGAATATTAAGTGTAGTAGATTTGGTATACATAATATATGATATATATTTCATACTCTATGGTGAAGAAGGCATAATATATAGAATACATACACAAGTTACGTAATATTATGTCTATAGTACAATCCTTTAAGCAAGCAAAAATACTATGATAAAAACTGCTCTAATTACAGGCATCACGGGTCAAGACGGTGCCTATCTTGCTGAACTTTTATTAGCCAAAGGCTATATTGTCCATGGTGTTAAGCGAAGATCATCTTCCTTTAACACGGGTCGGATTGATCATCTTTATCAAGACCCTCATATTGATCATCGTAATTTTATTTTGCACTACGGTGATATGACAGATTCAACCAATTTAATTCGAATCATTCAAGAAGTACAACCTGACGAAATTTACAATCTTGCGGCTCAAAGTCATGTTCAGGTTTCTTTTGAGACACCTGAATATACAGCAAACGCCGATGGTTTAGGAACTTTAAGAATTTTAGAAGCGATACGTATTTTAAATTTGGAGCAAAAAACTAAATTTTATCAAGCCTCAACCAGTGAATTGTACGGTAAAGTTCATGAGACCCCCCAATCTGAAACAACCCCCTTTTATCCGCGCTCACCTTACGCTGCGGCAAAATTGTATGCCTACTGGATTACGATTAATTATCGGGAAGCTTACAATATCTTTGCCTGCAATGGCATCTTATTTAATCACGAATCGCCAATCCGTGGAGAAACCTTTGTCACACGAAAAATCACACGGGCGGTTTCTAGAATATCTTTGGGCTTAGAATCGAAACTATATCTTGGTAACCTTGATGCGAAACGGGACTGGGGTCATGCTAAAGACTATGTTCGTGGGATGTGGTTGATGTTGCAAGCAGATAAACCAGATGACTATGTTTTAGCAACAGGTATTACAACAACGGTACGAGACTTTGTTTCTACTTGCTTTGGCAAAGTTGATATTGCTATAGAATGGCATCATCGTGGTACTGATGAAATTGGTATCGATTCTAAAACAGGACAGACATTAATTGAGGTTGATCCACGTTACTTTCGGCCTACCGAAGTAGACTTACTGATTGGTAATGCCAATAAAGCCAAACAAAAACTAGGTTGGACCCCTGACTATGATCTTGCTGGATTAATAGATGACATGATGACAGCAGACCTAATACTAGCTAAAGAAGAACAACAAACAACAAAATAATAGCACTATTATGATCACACCAGATGCAAAAATTTTTATTGCTGGTCATCGCGGTTTAGTTGGTTCTGCATTAGTGCAGGAACTGAAAAATCAAGGTTTTCATAATCTTATTCTTAAAACTAGATCTGAGCTTGACCTTTTAGATACTGTTTTAGTTGCTGATTTTTTTGCAACAGAAAAACCAGACTATGTTTTTTTAGCTGCTGCCAAAGTAGGTGGTATTTTAGCCAATGATACCTATCCAGCTGAATTTATTTATGAAAATCTACAAATTCAAAATAATATTATTCATCACAGTTATCTTAATCAGGTAACACGACTACTCTTTTTAGGCAGCTCTTGTATTTACCCCAAACTCTGCCCGCAACCCATGCGTGAAGACTACTTACTTACGGATACCTTAGAAAAGACAAATGAGGCATACGCTATTGCTAAAATTGCTGGCCTGAAACTTTGTGAGTATTACAAAAAGCAATACGATTTTGATGCTTTGTCAGTAATGCCAACTAATCTCTACGGTCCAAATGACCATTTTGACTTACACACGTCCCATGTTTTGCCTGCAATGATTCGTAAATTTCATGAAGCAAAAATAGTAGGCCATTCTCCTGTGACTCTTTGGGGTACTGGTACACCTATGCGTGAGTTTCTTCATGTTGAGGATTTAGCACGCGCTTGTCTGTTTTTAATGCAACAACCAGTTAACAAGATAATCCATTCTCTTTATAACATTGGTGTCGGTAAAGATATTACAATTAAAGAATTAGCAACGCTCATTCAACGTATTGTTGGCCATACAGGTGAACTGATTTGGGATAGCAGTAAGCCTGATGGTACACCCAAAAAATTACTTGATATTAACCGGATTCAAACGTTAGGTTGGCAGGCCGAAATTAGCTTGAAAGATGGTGTTCAAAAAACTTACGAATGGTATTTACAATCTCTTATTAAATCATAGCTTGGTTATTTAAATAGCATTATTTTCAATTTTTTTAGTCTGTTAAGCCAAAAATAAGAAAAATCTGGTTTTATACCATTATCTTTAAGTGCCTTCATAACCTCTAAGCGAATTCGCCACCGTTGTTTTAAAGATTTTGATCGACTAATGCCATCAAGACGCATCTTCGTTATGATTTCTGGTAAATAGCTGTAAGACATCTTGTGTACATTGGCAAATCGTGTAAACAATTCTAAATCGCCTGCTATTTTATAGTCTATTTTAAAAAAGCCGTATTGTTCAAAATAAAAACGTTTAATAAACATACTCGGATGTGGTGGAAATTGTCCTAGACATAAACAACTAAGATCAAAATTGATGGGTCGTACGACCTCTTGGATATTCTGAATATTATCGCGAGCAGTTAATTCTAAATCGCCATAAACACAATCTGTTTTCTCCTCTCGAAATGTGTCTATAACCTTCTGAATGATATCATTCGAGGCATATAAATCATCCGCATTTAAAAAAGCAATAATATCCCCTGTCGATCTTTTAATGCCTTTATTCATTGCATCATAAATACCCTGGTCAGGTTCTGATATGATAATATCAATGTGCTCTTTATAACGTCGAACAATCTCCATTGTTTGGTCACTAGAACCACCATCAATTAAGATATATTCGATATTCTTATATGTATGACCAGCAACAGATATTAATGTATCTTCAATGGTCTCAGCTGCATTGAATGCAACTGTAATAATAGATATTTTCACTGTATTTACTTAACGATTTATGTCGGTTACAAAAGTATTTATTGTCTCACATCAGTCTACTGTTTTCGGTGGTGCTGAAATTGTATTAATCGATTTTCTATCTCAGGTAAAATCGTTTCAGCCAACGGTTTTAATACCCGCGGGCTCTTTTGAAACAGTATTAAGAGACAAAAAACTATCCACAAAAAAGTTATATTTTTTCAAAAAAAGTCATCATCGTAAAGGCCTATTCTGGGTTATCAACTCAAGTATTAAATTTATTCTCTGTTGGCTTGAATTTTTATACTTGTTTTTAAAAAACCGTCCAGATATTGTACAGGCAAATGGAATGTATCCGCTTGGTTTTATTACGCTACCCGCAAAATTACTGGGGGTTCCTATTATTTGGCATGTTCATACAGTTGAATCTGTACATCACCCTTATCTAGCAAAACTATTTGGAAAACTGGTATCTAAATTAGTAACTGTCAGCAATGCTGTGAAAACAGACTTAGAACAATTAGGTGTTCCAGCAACAAAGATTATTACGATCTATAATCCACCCAAAATCAAACATTCCTTGCCTAAAAATCATCCTGATTTAATAACATTACTCAAACAATATCAACAAGAATCAGTATTAACGATTGGTATTGCAGGTACAATTTGTGAACAAAAAGGACTATTAGAGGTTATCCAAGCCATTGAACAAACTACAGACACCGTTCTGTTTATTGCTGGTTCAAGCAAATTAGAATCGAATCGGGCATATGAACAACAACTTATTGATTATATAGAAAAAAATCAATTAACAGATCGCGTTTTTTTGCTGGGTCAATTGCAAGCAATGGACCTATTTTTTAAAAATATTGACTTATTTATACACTACCCTAAATACCCCGATGCTTTACCAGGTGTTATTGCTGAAGCATTAGCATATGGATGCCCAGTTATAGCTTCAGACAATGGTGGACATAAAGATTCCCTTAATTATGGAGCCTGGGGTCAGTTAGTTAAAGCAAATGATACAAAGGCACTTCTACAAGCAATTAAAGAATTTCAACAACGAAAAAGTCATAAAAAAATAGATCTTAGTGATTTTAAAAAATATTTTTCACATAACTATAAAGAACAACAGTTTTATACTATTTATCAAGATCTTTTAAGGTCTTGATAAAGCTCGACATATTTTTTACAAACGAGATCAAGTGCAAAGTTTTGTTTGACATACTGTCTCGCTTCTTTGGCAAATTTTAAAGATAACTTTTGGTCATTGATCAGTAAATTAATTTGATGTGCCATCTCATGACAATCAAAGGCAGTACTTAAAAAGCCTGTCTTTTCATGTTGAACGATATCTGCAACACCACCAACGTCAAACGCAACCACAGGACAGGAGCATGCTTGTGCTTCAACTAACATATTCGGTAGATTATCCTGCTTGGAACAACCTAGAAAGAGATCTGCTGCACTATAGATGAGTGCAAGGCTAATTTCATCATGAATATGGCCTAAATAGGTTGCAGGAAAAGGTAATTCAGTATTATTAGCTGACTCAGCACTAGCCCCTAAAATTAAAAGTTCAACGTTATCTGAAGCTAGGATATTCTTAAGGCTCTGAATGGTTTCTACTAGATAATCAAAGCCTTTACGCGGATGTGATGTTGCTTTGACTGCACCAAATAAAAGATAAAATGTGTCTTGTTGTAGATTCAAAATATCACGTGCAATCTCTTTTTTGATTGGTCTAAAAATAGTTAAATCTAAGCCATTGGGAATAACTTCAATTCGTTTTTGGCTTAACAATTCACTATTCGAAACTTCCTCCGCTAACCATTTACTGGGAGTAACAATTGTGATATCGGATTTATGCCATGCTTTTTGTTTTTGCTGAAACTGTTTATAGGCAGCATCTCGCGTACGTTTTGTATCTAACTGCGGGCATTGCTGACATAAGGTCTTGTATCGTAGGCAATTATTGTTATAGTGGCAACCCCCAGTAAAAGCCCACATATCATGTAATGTCCAAACAATCTTAGTTGGTATATTAGCAATTTGTTTTGGGGTTAAAAAACCGTCATGAATCCAATGTAAATGCACAAAATCTTGCTGAGCTAATAGTTGTGTGTTTTCGACACCTACACCATAAAATATGGGTGAATATTCATAGTTCTTTTTGACTTTATCTAGTTTGTATGTTGTAGAGATAGCAATGGGAGCTAGCGTTCGTTTTATTGTTTGTAAAATACCAGCATTTTCGTAAATATTTCGATGGTCAGAAGATTTACGTAATGTCAACATTTTTAATGTTAGCTGCTCAAACTGATGCAAACCTTCAAAGAGACGACGACAAGCAATAGCAGCACCGCCTTGGGTATCAGTCGTATTGGCAAACGTGATTTTTATCATCTCATCCATATGTTGCCAAAAATTTGCATATAGCGTTCTCGATACTCTGTAAATTTTGCTGTAAAATCAGGAACTTTTAAACTATCTGGGGCTAGCAATTTCTGTATTACTGACTCAGCCTTAAATTCAGGTAAAGGAACTAATCGTTCTGGTAAACCCAAATCTTGACACATTCCTGCGACTTTACCACCTAATGTGTAATCAATTGCCATAAATGGTATACCCAGCGCAACGGCAAAAACAGCACTATGAAAACGCATCGTTAATACGGCATCAACTTGACTATATGCTTGCAAATCTTTTAGGGGTGTTTGATGATTCATCAGAATTTGCTGCTGTAATTCAGAATTATCGGAAAATAAACGTTGGTAAAACATACGATCATCACCACCAATTGCTAATTTATGCATGCAAAATGGCACAATATCTACATGATTCTGTTGCAGTTGTATTATTACTTTTAATAATTCATCTTCAAATCTATCTTTGATTTGTGAAGCTTCGGAAACATCCATAGATACAGCATATTCGCTAATAGGCCAATCCCGTAAAGCCAGACCAATTTTTAGTCTATTTTTAGTATTAATTTCATTATCAGGTTTATTTTTGTGTACCCAAAAAAATGCAGGGTCAGCTAAAACAATGAAATCTTGACGCGTTATCTGTAATTCTTTTTGAGCAGAAACTAACGACTGATGGTCACGCAAAATAACAGCATCTGCCAACGTCAAAATTGTGGCAATAGCTCGATTACGAGTACTTTTACCAAGAGGTCCAATACCACAACCAGCTATGACTAAAGAACTTCCGGCTATTTTCCCTAATGTAAAAAACTCTGCTAAGTCAATAATCTCTTTAACTGACGCCATTAAGGGGCCGCCACCGATCATGACCATTTGATATGCTTTGTTTTTAATCTGTTTTTTAGCTTCTGTAAAATCAAGAACTCGTACATTTTTTAATTCAGGCATTGTACGACAGGTCTGCTGACAAATATAAGGTTCTATAGATGCTAAATCAACCTGAATATTTGGTGATAATTCTATCAACATTTCATGTAATGCCGCTAAAATAGCTTTATCTCCAAGGGTTTCTGTACCATACCAGCCACAAATTAGAACTCTATTGGTTTTAGGTTGATGTGGTTCTGCAGATAAAATTTTTGTTTGCTTAGACTGCCATTGAAAAGACCGCAATCTGGCACTATCTTTAAGTAACCGTCCCTGCTGTAAAAATACGCGTACTACCTTTTTAGTGAGTGGTTGTATAACATCTGGAATCTGATTATAAATACCGTAAGCTATTAGTTTTATTGCATTACGATACCCTGTTAACCCTTCATAGTCATGATGGCAGTCTTGACATTTATGCTCTGCGATTTCTTTGAGATGAGATGTATTTCCCCAATATAAAGATTCTGCATCCTCGGTTTCTAAGGATCCTAAGGATTTACTCTCTACAGCACAATAAGCAAGCTCACCATTTGACAATAGCGTTACGCCACGGTATTTCCATTCGCAACCCGCTGTACGAGGCTGATTATAAATTAGTTGATTCCTTAAACTCAGATAGAACTGTCGTCGTGAAGGTGATTGTTCATAGTATAAACGTAGATAATCAAGAAAATTAGCAAAATGAAACCGTTCATCACTATTGAGAGCAAAAGGAGATGTGACATTGTCACTATACAGCCGCTGATGCGGTACCCCTAAACGAAAACGTGCATAAATATTTTTTTGCTGGCTCCAGTGCAAAACATTTTCGACATCATATACATTGTCACGGATAACAGTACAACCAATACGGCAAGTAT